CAGAAATTTATTGGACAGGTCAGATTTGCTAACAATGTTATAATTTGTGAAACTGTGGGGTCATTTCAAGGAACTTGTTGACAAACCTTTTCATGTACTGACCAAAAATGTATCACTTTTCTAAACATTTTTGGCATTTCCTTCTCTATTCACCATAACCAGATTTCAATATTTTTTAATTTATACTTTTTTGTGTCTGATGTGAATGTTGGTCCCTCACTTTCAAACTGATTAGTGTTTTTAATGCATATGACAGAAAGTATCAGATGTCATCAATCATTCAGCTCAGCTTTTGCTAAGACGAACATCAACTGAGGCAGAGAGAGCACTAGAACATATTGATGAGGCGCTAATGATAAGTTCATACTCTGAAAAATTGCTTGAAATGAAAGCTGAGGTGCTGCTAACGGTTAGTGACTCTTTCTTATAATAAGATGGAATTTCACTAAGCTTAGGTTATGATTTTATGACTCTCAAAATTTGTCTTGAATCGATTTGTGCAACAATTTGTACCACTTATGTCTGTGTTGGATAACTTTTGCCACACGTATCAGCTTTGTAGATATGACGAGGTGATTCAGCTATGTGACAAGACCCTTGATTCTGCAGAGAAGAATGCCTGTCCATCGGATGCTGGTTGTGAAGTCACAGATCTGGATAATTCACAACTCTCCAAAGGTTTCTACTTCAGAATTTGGCACTGTTCAATGATGCTTAAAGCCTACTTTCACCTAGGAAAATTTGAAGAGGGTCTTTCTTTGCTAGAGCAACAACAGGAAAAGATGTCTGCCGTAAACAAGTATGTATTACTAACCCCTGACTCATTCACCCTTCTCTGCCAATCCTCAAATGTAAACTGAAAAGAAAAGGGGAAAATAAAAATGTGAATATTTGATAGCTATGGTCCTTTATTTCATCACCTTAAATCATCTCCCTACAGGAATGGAAGAAAGGTTTTGGATTCACTCATACCACTAGCTACTCTCATACGTGAAGCCTTGCATCATAAGGTTAGCTCATGTGTTTCATTATATCTTTATGATGATTTTTATATTCCTTATTGTCTGTTAAATATCTCGATTCCTAACATATCAACTGTTTCAAAGTATACTTTTCTATTTTTGTCTTGGGATTTTGGCTATTTTACTTGAGTATATTATTTTATTCTAGTATGTCTTTATATTGAGTTCTCAACTGACTTTTAAAATGAATTTTTATTAGCAGCATAAATTCTTTTACCTAGAAGCATTTATTGCATCAAACATACTGATTGTCCTTGCTATTGCTCTAGGTGACTGTCATTCTGCTCAAGCTCTTTTTTTTTTTGTATTTTTAGGTTTTGAGGGAAGCACTGAAACTTTTCTATTTCAGATTTTTTACCTTTTTGTAAAGCACACAGCCACAGATATTATGTTCGTAAACTTTGGATTTTGGATTTACACAACCAAGTATATCAACACCTTCTGCAAACCAGTCTGACCACCCATCATACACTAACACTACCCTAATTGTCTTTAAATTGATAGTTTGTCATCTTCATTTGTGTTTCTATGCTCTTCTCAAGTACAACTATTCTATCACGAAGAAAACAATTGAAGTGCCACATTCACGTCATATTCGAGGATGGTTTTGTTAGTTTAATTCATTTTGTTTTTCCGTCCTTTTCCTGTAACATGAGAATTGCTTTTGATTAGGATTGGTGTAAATCTATTTATATGTAGACTGCAGGGAATGCAGCATTTCAAGCTGGAAGGCATGCAGAAGCCGTTGAACACTATACATCTGCTTTGTCATGTAATGTGGAGTCTCGTCCATTTGCAGCTGTCTGTTACTGTAATCGTGCAGCTGCCTATAAAGCTTTAGGTCAAATAACTGATGCTATTGCAGATTGCAGTCTATCTATAGCACTTGATGGAAATTATTTGAAGGTTTCTCTCCTTAACCGTTACTTCATTTGTTCTTTTGACATGTTATAATTGTTTTTTTTAGATGTTATAATTGTGTTTAAATCTATCAGAGAGTAGCAGTCTTAGCTTAGTGTGTTGCATCTTCAAATATATCTATTTTTAATTGTTATTCAGGGAGTTGTTTATTAAGGATTTAAATTTATATGATAAGTATGAGAAAAATGTTTTCAAATTCTTGCAGGCACTTTCTAGACGTGCAACTTTGTATGAGATGATCAGAGATTATGCCCAAGCAGCCAGTGATCTGAGGAGGCTTGTCTGTCTTCTCAATAAGGGGTTGGAGGACAATGCCAATCAGCTTGGAATATCTAATGATTTGAGACAAAATCGTGTTCGTCTTTCTGAAGTGGAAGAGGAAGCCAGAAAGGAGATCCCTCTCGATATGTACCTCATTTTGTAATAATCAAACTTCTTTTTCTTATCATTGATACTATATTAATTAACTCCTTTTGGGCACCATCACTTCCACTTTTGCATGCTTTTCTAGTCAAAGCTGTGAGAAATATAGTTCTTTTTATGGGGACGAAATACATAAAATATTATGCTGTGCCTTTTTATAGTTGAAAATTCCATTTGGTATGAAAAGTTCCACACAGTAATATTTCAAGTGATGAGCATATTGGTCTACTTGTCTTTTAATTAGTAGAGTAGAAAAATGATTGGCCCAGTTTAAAATTCAAATTTCGTAGTGAATAAAACTTCTGTTTATAATTGACACCATTCTTTGTCTAGTTGTTTTTCATCTGTGACAAAGAAAACCTAATGCCAGCTAAAACATTATTTGTTGCTAATGTAGGGAAACATTATCATTCGTTTAAAGATATTAGCTAACTGACATTATGATGGCAGGGGAGTTGAACCTTCTGTTTCGATATCTGAAATCAAGAAGGCCTATCGGAAAGCTGCACTTAGACACCACCCGGACAAGGTTGTTTAATTGTCCACTTTATCTGGTGCTCATACTAATTAGTAATCAATCTTTTGACATTTTATCTTGTGTAGGCTGGCCAGTCTTTGACCAAAAGTGACAACGGAGATGATCAGATTTGGAAGGTAATTGCTGAAGAAGTACACAGAGATGCTGATAGGCTTTTCAAAATAATTGGGGAGGCATATGCTGTCCTGTCAGATCCTGCCAAGGTATTTTATATATTTTCAACTAATTATCTTGCTGAGAGGCTTGCTCTATGCATAGTTAGAAGGTTGGTTTTTTGCGGAATTGTGTCAATTAATCCTCACAGCCAACTCCATCCACTGGTACTAGGATTTGTTTTTGACACTTGGCATGTCATATGAGAAGTTTCTGTTCCTTAAAACAAGGTAGGTAACAGCTACTAATGACCAGTAGCTGATACCTAGCATAAAGGAATTTGGTGAGTTTGTTTCCTTAGATAAAAATCAATCTTTTACCAGTATTGCAGCAAATGACCAATAGTATAAATTTCGTGCGTTTCCTTTCTTTGCAACGCGATGCTGGATGAAAATAGAAAAAGGTAGTTTGATATCTTGTTATAATAATGGAATAATATACTAAAGATGTGAAACTATCAAATAAACGTGCATCAATAACAGCGATAGATGAGTAAATCTGTGACCCTAGTAAAAGAAAAGTTAGAATAAAGTCCGATTTGCTTCTACATGCACTATGGAATCATTACGGAAAGCAGCAGAACTTGAATTTTCTTGTAGTTTTATTACATCTTGCAGTGTTTGTAAGTATGCATTTCCCCCTGTAATGTAGAAAAACTCCCCATGATTATGGGAAGTCGTTTAAATGTTGTAAGCTTTAAGAGTATTATGCTACGTATTCATTTGGTCATTATTCCATTTTATGTAGCGGGCCCGTTATGACGCAGAAGAAGAAATGAGGAATTCCCTAAAGAAACGCTATGGACCTATTGGTAGAAACAATGTGGATGCCCAGTATTACCCGTTTGAACAAAGCAGCAGAAGACAGTGGAGGGAGGCTTATAAATCTTATGGTTATTCATCTACTCGAGGCCCTGAACATGGCCGATCAAGCAGGAAATAAGAAAGTTTTCATGGAATTTAATACCGCGAGGATTTGGGTTGCTGTTTGACTATTTAAATGTGGCCTACTTAGATGGTGCCTTTTAAGTTATCCGCTGCATTTGGCCTTCTGAATTAACGCATTATGCTGAGTTTTGATGCATTGAACGAGCTGTTTCGTGGGTTAATCCTTCGAGTTAGGAGATGTGAGGTTAAAGATATACAAAATTCTGCAACTGATGACGTAGCAGTTGGAAAAGCTTGGCTCATTTGCTGGTTAAAGCTACTTGTTGCTTTGGGAGGTAGAATTTTCCATTTGGAAAAAGACACGAATGTTGCATCCTGAGAGTTGTCTTCTTCGCAGTTTGGCTGCTGAAACCAGCACCTGAAGCTTGAAAATTTTGCATTATGGTCGGGCAAGGTATTTTTTAGACATGTAAATTTTACCGACACAAATTGATAGAGATGTACAGACGAAATTTAATCATACCACCACAGCTATTGTAATTACCACCCAGTTGGGCTTGTGTAGAAAAAGTTCATACCTAGGTCCACTTAGCATTTGTTAGGAATCCTACCAATGAATGGGAAATATTACGGTTAAGGCTGGGATTAGAATCACGTGTAAAACTTCAATATCATGTAAAGTACATTTAATCAATTAATTAAACCAATGTTTTTTTTTAAAGAAAATAAAGTTATACTATAAAGTAGTCCGAAATCATAGTATGTATAGTTTTGTTATTAAACAAATTTACATCATAATAAATGTTAAATATGTATACTGTTTTATACTAGTTTCAAAAGAAATTGAGCTCACTCATAATATGAATAAGTAAATCTTAATTGAATAATTGATGAGCTTTAGGTAATACTTATGGTTCCGTATTTTCTCCTCGAGTTTCTTGTTTATTATTGAGTTGTAAAGAACACACATCGTCGTTCCTTTGGTGCCCTATTTAAAAGAAAAAGGGGGGAATTTTAGAAGTAACATCCTAGTCATGGATAACGACTGGTAAAGTAAAATCACATAACAAAATTCTTTTTTCTTTTCTTACCGAAGGTCATTTTTCATTTCACAAATCCAAACAGATAAGCATTTTGTGCATTATTCTTATGGACATCTATCAACTAATCTCGTACATGCATGAAAATGAACGATGTCCGAGAACAATACACTTACAGCTTTGCAGTACATTAAAATGAATTTTACTAAATTTCAATTTTGCGGTGGTACGGGCAGACTTATAAGTATATTCCTAACCCGAGCTCCTTTGGATTTGTTTCAACCATCCATGGTGACCTGTTTATGTTTTAGAAACCGAAAAAAATTGTTAACAATCCAAATTCACCAATAATACAGAATACGGGCACTAATATTAGAAAGCGTACCTGTTCATTACAAAGTTAAAAGTTCCCTGGCTAGCACGCTCGAGAAGAACTTCTCTTGCTTCAATTGGAATTCCTTGAGGCTGCTTGTAGAATTGGATGAAATTGTCATATATTTGTTTGCAAAAGAAATGTCCTATGTTTCCTTTTAGATTGCAAAGAATAAAATGAAATTGAGAAGTGGACACACATACCTCTTCAGGAAACCAGACTCCTGGCTGAGCGCTTCCTTCAAGAATTGCAAGTGCAAAAGCAGCCGTGGAAATTCCAACAGATCTGAAAAACGTGCACAGTGGCATTCGTCATTACCAATAAAAAGAAACTAAATTCCGGGTTTTATGAGATTAGAATCTACTTGACAGTTGTTCATGCGGTAACATTGCAGAAATCGGATAGACCAAGAGTTAAATAGGCATCCAATCAGAAATTATTCTTGACACCCAAATGCATCTAAAGCACTGGTCCATGTTAGCCTCAGTCTGATTTCCAAGGTAGTAATTATAAAAATCAACGACCGTACGTTTTCATGATTAGATCACAGTATATCAATTAGTATTAATTCGAATAAAAGATATGGTTGAGTGAATCATGTAAGAAAAAACATTGGGTTTAGAGTCATGTTTAGATAAACTTTTTCCATAAACTAAGTTCAATTTTTTCCATTAGCTAAACCAATGAGTACCTTATCTTTTGAAAAAAAAAGCAAGATAAGAACTTCTGTAAAAATTAAAACTTAGAAGAGAAATTCAATATCTTGTTTCCTATAAATATTTATATAGAAGTTTTCCCAAACATAAGCATACTTTCATATTTATAGGTTCTACCATGGCCAGACCGAAGATCTTTTAATAAGTAATTACTAGTGGACATGTCTTCACTCTAAATACATTAATTTCCATAATGTCTTTTGATATCTCTATCACATCATATCAAGTATCATTCAAATTCTCCTATTGTTTTTTTTGCTCTCAATAGGTGTCATTTAAAGTGGAAGTGTCCACTGATCCTTTTTGTTATTTCTCCCTCACTTGATGCCCTTTAGAGTATAGATGTCCACTGATAACAGTTGAAAAACTGTTATTTTCATGCTTAAAATTGACACAAAAAGCAACCTTTACACTTAGAAACTAGCTTGAAATCATGCTTTTATCCATATTTTCAGAAATAAGAGAGATGGACAGGTTTATGCTTGATTTCAGTGTTTTTGTGCAGGTTTTAAGGTGAATATAGTGAAAAAAGTGAAGAAGGAGAGAGATGAAATCAGAAAAGTCAACCAGAAACCAGAAAAGTCAACCAGTCAACCAGAAAAGTCAACCAGTCAACCAGTCAACCAGTCAACCAAAAAGTCAACAATCAACCAGAATACGGAAAAAGTCAACCATACGAGTTTTGGGCCAGTTTTCTGCGATTTTTATGATCTGTTTGGGCTTGGACCCGTTTTCTATTATTTTTATGTCCTATTTAAAGACCTAGATGTCTTAGGGTTTGGTATCTTTGGCAGAAACGAAGCAAACACTCTCTCTTCCACCCCTTTGAAGGAGGATCTTGGATGCTCAGGCTACCTCTTCACCTTTCTAGGGTTTTATCTTTCA